TGGCCAAGGGTGTTTAAATGAAAAGATAATGGCAGAACTAAGATACACAGACCTTACTCCTTCTCTTTTCTTTCTTCTTTTTTCCAAACATTTTATTGTGGTTTGGGTGAAAGTTACACTTTTCTTTTCTCACCCAATTTAAACAAAGGGAGGGAGGGCAACAACTTTTTGAATCATGATTCATGTTGGCACTCTCATGTAGTTATTAGCCTCCCTATGGGTTAACTGGGAGCTCTGGTAGCACGTGCCTAAGGCACTGGACTGCTAACCAGAGGGCTGGCGGTTCAAACCCACCAGCAACTCCTCGGAAGGAAGATGGGGCAAACGGGTCCGACTCAAGGGCACATAACAACAACAACAATGGGTTAACTATACAGATTTACAAATAACCTGATTAGATTTGATCTCTTCAAAAGTAACTGTTACATGGTCTAATAAAAACTTACAAGAAACAATCTAACTTTATCTGCATGAATTCAACATTTGCAGTTTTCTAAGTATACATCAATCGATTATCTTTCTACACTGACATCTACCATCCTCATATATGTGAAAGCAACATCCACCTATACATCTGCATAGCAAATTATGTCAGTTAATAAGGCACCTAAAATATGTGATTGGGATGTGATTAGAAATGTAGATAGGGCCCACATCATATTAATTTTACACTAAGTTTTTATTCTATATTGAAGGCAATGAGGAGTCATAGAAATATTTTAAGGAGAAAAACGACAATCCAATCTGCATTTTAGAAAGATCATTTTGACAGTAAGTAACATGGGAGAGCAATTAGAATAGGGACAAGTCTGGAGGCAAAGAGGCCCTAGGCTGTCGAAGGAATTCAAGTGAGAAATGAAGGGCTGTACTAAAGCAATGACAGAAAGAAATTAGGAAAGTGAGGGCAGTTTTTAAACCAATACTATAACTGGGATCTTCACTAACAATAATTTCTGAAAAGGAATTAAAACTTAAGTAAGAGCCAGACTGGTTATATAAAGTGAATCAAACCTTCAAAGTTTATTTACACTCTTAATAGAAGGCAAATGAACTACTTTTTTTAATTACTACCTTCAGGCTGTAAGGATAGTAAGGATCCAAAGGCCACAAACATTGTCCCTTAGGTCCTCTGAGTAACCAAGTGTCTAAAGGTATTTTGACTAAAACAAAGCTCTTTTTCAATCACCACAGTGGGCCTCCTAATATGTTACCACTGAAAGGGAAAGACAGGAAATGAATCAATAAACCTCAGGCACATGCTTGGCTTGGAAAGACACAGCCTATCAAGGAGCAGAGATCTAAAAACAAAGGCCCTGGGTAATTTAATTACCAGGCCGGAATCTGCTGACTGCCGGTTTAATTGTTTGAACAGTGCCCAAATTGTCTGGAGGTGACCACCCTAAATTTTTGCACCATTTTCTGCATGTGACCACATGGGCAAATACGAGAAATAGTTCTAAAGATTGTAGGAATCCTGAAAAACTTTAATCAATCACATCTATGATTACAGAGGAAAATTTTAAAGACTCTAAACCTGATAATATTTATAAACAACCAAGGCTCTTTTTAGCAAATACATTTGCCATTAAATACACTATGCTGTCAATCCAAGAAAATAATGTCCTTTAGATATGAACACCAACTGCTATATAAGAATTAGAAAACAAGTTACCCAGAATATATGCTCTTTGTTACCATTATACTCTGAAAAACTTATTTTAGGAAGATGTGGGAGTTGGAAGAAAGAATGTAACTGCAGGGTGGTAACTACCAGTTAAGTACTCAAAAACTGCTCAATCTACTACAGGAAGCCAATTTTCTCCCTTGATTCAGTCAGTATTTCCTCCTTCATGTTTATCTCCCGAAGAGTAAACCAACAGAAAGCTCCTCTCAAAAACTGAACAAAGAAGTACCTTAGACTACTTAACCTGGCAGTGTCTGCAGCCTCCTTAAGTAAATAAGGTCTATGAGGCCAAGGTAGACTATTACACAATTTATTCAACAGGTAATTATAAAATGCTTTGTACTGTACTAAGTCCTCAGAAGAAGCTTACAATCTAGAAGGGATAAAAAGATACATGTGAGTAATTTAAATAACAAGGAATAGTAGTATACAGATAAATTCTAAAGTAAGATGTGCAGGAAGGAGAGCTACAAACAATGTGATTAGAATTAACTGAGAAAGACTTAACTGAAGAAATGGAACTCCATCCAGATCTGTAAAACAAAAGCTGTTTTTTTTGTTGTTGTTTTGCAAAGGGTTTCCTAGGCTCCAGATCAACAAGAGGACAGCTTTTGAATCAGAAATTTGCATGTTTTATCTTGGGAATCAATATGCAGATCAGCCTAATTGTGGGTTTTGTGGGAGACAATTAGATTTGGTAGATATGGCAAGCCCTTGGTGAGCTTCCAAAGTATTGAAGTCGTGAGCCTGAATGCTTCTTACTTCCATTAAAGTTAAGGAGGGAATACAGGACCAACTACACATTGTATCAAAAATAAATAACCACAGTGATGAACAAAACAGTTAAATGCTTATCAATCTTTGCCTATTTCTTCTCTTTAATGATAACATATTAAAGGAATGAATGATATCGATCAAGACTCAATTCAATTAAATAATATGCTTAAGTAAGGGGAGGGCAAATAACACTTCAGGCAAAAGAAACAGTAACGTGGAAAAGGGCACTGAGACAGAAAAAGTGAAAGACCATATTACTAGTCAGTACAATGCAGTGGTTAAAAATTCAGGCTCTAAAGTTGGGACTATGGCTACAAGCTTTGGTTATGCCACTTATTTGCTCTGCGACTATGAGAAAATTATTTAACCTCTGTCTGTCTCTCAGTTTCCTCTAGTGTTAAATGGGGACATTAATAGTACCCATCTTAAGGTTTCTGAGGATTAAATGATATGTATAGGACTCACTTAGCTCAATGCCTGGCACATGGTTAAGTGTAACTGTTTTTAAGGTCAGAATTTTTAATGAGCCTTGCTGGCCTTTGAAGGATCCTAAACTTTATTCCAAACAATAGAAGCTCCTGAAAAGATTTAACATGATCAGATTTTTGTTGTAAAAAACACTACTTAGCGTGTGGTATAAGAAACCCTTGATGTTACGATGGTTAAATGCTTTTGGTCGCTCTGAAAAGTTGGCAATTTAAACCCACTTAGCTGCTCTGTGGGAGAAAGACCTGGAGATCCGCTTCTAAAAAGCTGATAGCCTAGAAAACCCTATGGGGCAGTCCACTCTGTCACATGGGATCACTCTGAGTTGGAATGGATTCCAGGGCACCAAATAGCAACACAACATAAGAAACCCCAAAGGAAAAATCTATTTTAGAATTTCCTACTGAGAAAAATTTTGTTTTCTTTAAGAAGCAGGGACCTTTCTTTTTCTTAGATAAAATTCTGTAAATAACTATATCTTCTTTTCACTTTGACTGCTAGAAAGTTTAGAGCCAAATCTCAAGCTCTTAGGTCCTTACTGCCTGTATAATTGTGTTCCTTTTTTTCCTCCCGATAATTGTTTTCTACTTTGTAAGCACTGTCTGACTCAATTCTTTACTCTTTATACTTTAGAAAGGACTTTTTTGTATTATTCTTCTTTAGAGCTACTTTAACCCTTTACAGAATAAGGTGCAATATAATATAATTAACCAAATAAAAATCAAGCATGAACACCAAAGCTTCTTAATGCATAAATCATGCACTGTAGGATGATGCATTCCCACATGCCACCATAATCACTCTTTTGGCATAAACCTAGTCAGATGGAGCAAGAAACCCAGATGGCACAGGAAACCTCTCTCTATTCAAAGAAGCAGATGAAGAGTACAAAAACCTAAGGCTTTTCCTGGATTAGTAGGGCACAATTAGGTGTATCAGTGCTACGGGCAGAAGAGAACTTTAAAGTAGCTGCTGGAAGTTACTGTAAAGGCTCAAGACTATGGTTTTAATTTTTTATTTATGATTTTTTTCCCCCTATAGTATTTCACACTCTTCATAACCTTGTGTCTCTTCACTGTTCTATTTTCCCAATTCATGGGACATTTTATTGCTTCACTTATTTTGCTCCTGAACTTGGAATTCATGGTCAGCCATTTTAACTCTCACTTTCTGAGCCACTCCTCGGGAGGAAGGTTGGGCAATCTACTTCCGTAGTGATACTACCTCAGAAACCCAAGGAGGGGTCGCCATGAGTCGGATCTGACTCGACGGCAGTGAGTTTGGTTTGGTTTGGTTTCTGACCACGGAAATTCCTATAATGTATTTGACCTCCCATCATTTCTATCCTCAACCTTGTTCATTCACATTGTCTATTTTTCTCCTCCTGGATTTGAGAGTGCTGCTGACTATGACTCTATCATAATATTCCCTCACTGCTAACTATAGATCCTATTATTCATCCCTTGACTATCATGCGAATGGGAGCCAGCTGTTCTAAACCTTTCCCCATACTGCAGTGTTTAATGTTCTGCTCTTTCCCTGATGGCTCATCTGCTACGTTACAGAATGAATTAAATTTCATCTATATCAATAGAAGGTGCACTGGTGTTGCTGTGGTTAAAATATTAGGCTAACTTAAAGGTCAGCAGTTCAAACCCACCAGCTGCTCCGTGGGAGAAAGATGAGGCAATCTGCTTCTGTAAAGATTTAAAGCCTTGGAAACCCTAAGAGGCAGTTCTACTCTGTTCTATAGTCACTGTGAGTTGGAATTGACTTGATGGCAGTGAATGAGTATCATGAACCACACACCGTTTTTGGTGTTTATACATGCTTTGGGGTCTGACACACAGGTGATGTTTACTAAACGGTCATTATTTCAATAAACTCCTCTTCCTTCCACACGACTACAAGGGCTGTTGTAAGCCACATCCTTAGGACCACCTCTAATTCTTGCTGTAACTGCACTGATGTGTCACAGAGAAGGACTCCCTCCCTCCTAAAATTAACCACTCTCTGAGTTCTTGATCCAATTGTCTCTTGCCCACTCTGTAACCTTGTTTCATTAACTATCTGCTAACCAGAAGGCTGGTGGTTCAAACCCACCAGCCACTCCTCGGAAGGAAGGTTGGGCAATCTACTTCCATAGTGATATCGCCTTGGAAACCCAAGGAAGAGGCGCTATGAGTTGGGTCTGACTTGACGGCACATAACAACAACAGCAGCAATATACATTTTTTTCCCTAGCTTCTTCAAACACCATCACCACCACCACCACCAGAATACTGAATTCTGTAGACCCCAATTATCCCTCAATTCTTTTCTTCTCTCCTTCCTCCCACCTTGGAAACCCCTTTCTTCCTTTCCTTACCACCTATCTCCCCAAATTCTTGAAATCTAGCTTTAACTCCAAATTTATTGAAAAGTACTGTTTAAACTTGTTAGTGATACCTCAATGATGAAATGCCCTCTTCAATCCAGACTCCCTTCTCCTTTGGCTAATAGAACAGTAACTGTCCTTATTTATCAATATACTCTTCTACTCCACCAATTCCCTTCTCCCACCTGCCTTCTAAATAGAGGTGTAATTCTTAGCCTACTCTTCTCTGAGATCTCATGACTAATCACAGCTTCACTCATCACTTCTACACAGGTAAATCTATATCTCTGTTATTAAACGCTCCTTTTTTGAGAGTTAAAAGGATTTAATGAGGTATAATCTATATACCCCCTGGCTTGGATTATATGAAAAACAATGTGGCATCAGGAAGACTCATTAACAACCTGTGATACACAGATGACACAACTTTGCTAGCTACAAGTGAGGATGACTTGAAGCACTTACTGATAAAGATTAAAGACTACAGTCTGCAGTATGGATTATAGCTCAATATAAAGAAAATAAAAATCCTCACAACTGGTCCAATAAACAGCTTCATGATAAATGGAGCAGATTGAAGTTGTCAGGGACTTCATATTACTTGGTTCTGCAGTCAACACGAATGGAAGCAGCAGTCAAGATATCAGACATTGTAGAGCATTGGGCAAATTTGCTGCAAAGGACCTCTTTCAAGTGCTGAAGAACAAAGATGTTTCCTTGAAGACTAAGGTGTGCCTAACCCAACCATGGGTATTTTCAATCACCTCTTATGCATGTGACAGCTGGACAATGAATAAGGAAGACCAAAGAAGGGTTGATGCTTTTGAGTTGTGTTGGAGAAAAATGCTGAGAGTACTAAAGTTAAAGTCTGCACTCAAGAGACGGAGAGTTGCAGATTGGATAAGAAAACAAAACCCATCAATATGCTGCCTACAAGAGACACACCTTAGAGACAAAGACAAAAATAGACTAAAAATCAAAGGTTGGAAAAGATGTATCAAGCAAATGGCAACTGTAAGAGAGCAGGAGTGGCAATATTAATTTCTGATCAAACTGACTTTAAGACAGAA